TTAGCAGATTTAGATCAAAACTAACTTATTTTTGACTAACAAACATTTTATTTGTTTTTCCATTTTGACATTGTTATGGGTATGTACAAAACATTATTCTGTCTGTCACCAGATGTATGTAGTTCAGCTGTGCTTTTGATAAACCCCCAGTGATTGTTTCGGTACGTGTTCAGGCCTTGATCCTGCAGGCAAACCTATGATTCAGCAAAGCACTCCATTAACTTATTTTTAATAAATGAACAACTATGAACTTTCTTCGTGAGGGGGCTTCCCTTTTATTGCAGGGTGTGTCTAGGGCTGTAACATTTTAGGATAAGCTTAAAAATAATGATTTAATTTTTTAGCCTTTCCTTACCTTATTTTCATTATTTCTAAGGCCTTATGTATAGGCATTCTTTTGTAAGTTTAAACAGGTAAAAGAAAAAGGTAGATGATTTTTATCCCACCAAAAAACTAGTCCATTTCCGTTTACAGTACTACTTAAATCTTTCATAACTCTTTCTCTCAAATTCCTCTCAAAGCAGTTGGCATCTCTTGCTGCTGAGCAAAGGGAAGGATCAGAGAGGTAGCATTACTTCCCCAAGGTTATTTTGCAGGGAAGAGAGAGGTTTCCAGTGTCCCAGTCTAGTGTTGTCTGCATGAGGCCACACTGTATCCCAGTTTAGTTTAAGCCTGTTTCTTGCTCCTTTTAAACTTAACCAAAACAAGCCTGATTTAATTTTAAATCCAGTGTCCAAATAGTCTTGGTTTAAATAAATTAGTTTAAAAGCACACCTGGCATTAAACAGTTGCATCTTTATAGGGAAGCCCCAACTATAAAGAGAAGGACTGTAAACAGATGTCTAGTATAAGGTGGATTTTGACTTGGATCGAAATGGGAGTAGCATGGTACCCTGATAAGTTGCATTGCTAATCCTTTGACCGTAGGTGGCTAGGAAGATCACAGAGCCTGATAGGCTTGTCCCTAGAAGGAAACCCGATTAAGTTAAATTAGCCACAGTTAACTTACAGGCCCAATGTTGGGTGGGAAGAGCTAGCACATCTTATTTGACATACTTCACAGGTGCTTGAATTAGGACAAAAAGCTTTCACCTGGGAGAAATGCAGTCTCTGTTTGTAGCCTTAGTGGTATATCATATCACCCCTAGTAAAGAAGGCTATTACAGTGTAACAGGGGTTAGAGAGGACACTGTGATCAAACATCATTTAGGGGTTCTGTGATTGATAATGCTGTGTGATGCATTACATTTTCACTCTAAAATGTATGTGCAAGTTCCCTTTGTACAAATAGGCTTTTGGGGTTTGAACATGCAACTGTGACTGTTTCTGACTCTTAGGGTGTGGATTCTATTATTTTGCTTGTAACAGAAATGTTCAGCTTTATTTTGCGGCAAGAATCATTGACCGTGAGATGAGTAAATCCCATCTTTTGAGTACTTTGGTTTTTGGAACCTCAACTTGAGCCATCTTTCCATGGCAGCCTGCTAGGTAAGGGACTGTCTTCTCCCCTAAACCCCAGTGTGATCCCTAAGGCCAGTCAAGAGCCATCTTCCTGCAAGTATCATTTGTACGCCAAGTCTGCTTGACAAAAACACAAGACGGGTCATTCTTAGCAGTTACTCCTCAGAAGTTACTTCTTCACTCCTGAGGCCGCCTGACCCTGAGTCTGGGCATCTTTCAGCTGCTCTGAGACATTCTTATTTAGAGGCATTTAGCAGCCAAGACTAAGCCAAAATGTTTAGTGGGTCTTGCTTTGTTTTTTGTTGTTTTGTTTCATCTATTTTAGCTGCCTTTTTAAGTTATTCTGTTTCCCTGACTGTAAGGTGCCCTGGGCCTTTTTTTGGAAAGGCAGCATATAAATTATATAAACGAACAAATCAATAAATGAACTAGAAGTAAGAATTCTTGTGAGTGATATCTTTTATTGGACTAACTATGTGGTTGGGATAGACATTGGAAAGCTTTCAGATATCAGGCCTAAGGAAGGGTACTGTGATACCTGAAAGCCTGCCTATGTCTATCTTGGGATGCAGTTAGTCCAATAAAAGATATCACACACAAGAATTTTGTTGCCCCTTGCATATTTCCTGGATTGTCATGTCAACAATGTCACCTCAACACTAAATAAACTAGAAAGTTTGGAGCATCTGTTAACTTGGCCCATTTAAGTTGTGCCAAGTCAGGCACACAAATAATCTTTACTCGCTTGAAAATCTTGGTCCCCTGCCTGGATTTTCGTATTATAATTTTGAGTTGGATTTATTTTCTTAGCATTACACTTGGAAAAAAATTACCCCAATGTGCTGGTACATCATAAATATATCTGATGGTATTGCTTATCTTTGTGCATTGGGTTTTCCTGCTGATCCTAGTCTGTTTGTAAAAGCTCATGTAATGTTTTCATAACTGTAATGGATCCTTAATAGATTCATTTTAATGCTTGTCTTCTCTTACTGCTTGCACATACCAGTTATCATCAGTAGCAAACTGCATATAACAGCCCCTTTCTGTTCGTGTAACTGAGAGGTTATTAATGCACTAGACAGGAGGAACATAAAGATTAGTTTTTCTTTTTGTACAGATGTATCAGTGCTTCTTAGTTAAGTAGTAACAGAGTGTTATTGTAATGATTACTTTGTGACTGTCTCTCAGTCAAATGAGGCTCTGTTCCTACTGAAAATGATTACCAAGGATGGTGACTGAACAAACAAGCTAGGGACAGACATTCAAAAAGCCTGAGCCTGAATTGATTCAGTCTTTGCAGGTTAGTCTAACCTGCAGAGAGTGAACTGGTTTGCAAGTGGATAGATATTTGGCACATGCCTGCAGTGACTCAAGCCAGAAGCCCAGGGGCACTAGAGCAGCTCTCCCTTCCCTTTGACAGGGAAGCTGAGCTGAGGAGGGGGGCAACAACTGCTTGTTGACAGCTGGGAGCAATCTGAGCACACAGGGCTGCCTGGCTGCAGAGGGAGCTCTTCCCCTTGCTTCTCTCCCACTGCTGCAGGGTGGGGAGGGGGTCTCTATGGGATGCTGCCCAACCCCAGAGGGGGACTCTTTCCCCCACTCCTCCCTCCCCTCCCCTCCCCTCCCCCCCAGGCAGGGGGAGGCTCTGCTCCATGCTGGGGGGGAACTCTTCCCCCTCCTCCTCCACTCAGAGGGGCAGCAGGAGCAGGTGGGGACGTCAGGGCACTCGTGCCCTGGGCAGGCGCAACTCTGGCCAGCACTGCATGGCACGAGGGAGTGGAGCCTGCCTTATCCCAGCAGCTTCTGCCATGGGTATAAAGCAGGCTTCACTCCTTCCCCCCGCACAGCGCTGGCTGAAGCCTCACCAGCACCGGGCACAAGTGCCTTGATAAACCCGCCTGCTCCTGCTGCCAGGTAGCGGGGGCTGCATGCCATGTGGGGAGTATGTGGGAGTCCCTACAACCCCCACCCTTCTTCACACCCCCATCCTGCTCAGCTGAGGAGGAGGAAGAGGCCCTATTCAGTGCCTCAGAGTCCCCCTCCCCAGCCTGGGAGGAGGAGCAGGGGGAGGAGTCCCCCCAGCATGGAACAGAGCTCCCTCCCCACCCTGTGGGACAACCAACCTAGCATGGCCCCCTTAAAGTGAAGGGGGCAGGGAGAAGGGTTAATCCCCTCCTCCGTCCCTTCCCTGCAGCAGGGGGTCTGGCAGCTCCAGGGGCCACCGCTGCAGCCCTCTCCCCTCTGCTCCCCAGAAGACAGGCTGATCCCAGCTGTGGTGGGGGAAGGAGGAAAGAATTAACCCTCTCCCTGCTGGCCAGTGTCTCTGCTAGGGCCCATCCCTGCTTTGGCTAGAGAGCAGAAGGGAAGGGTCATCCCTGCAGATGGAGCAGAGAGCCCTGCCTAGCCCAGAGAGCATGCTGGTGTGCTGGGGGTTCCTGGTTTAGCTTAAACCAGCAAGGGGTCTGGGACAAACATTGCATAAACCGATTTGAGCCAAATCCGTTAGGTCTTGTATACTACATTCAGCCAGATTTATCTCAAACCAGTTTTGGCCATTTTGAAACTGGTTTATCTGCGTGGAATGTCTGTTTTGTTCCAGGTTGATCATTTAAATTGGTTTATGTGTAATGTCTGTCCCTAGCCACATTGAGCATGTGAAGCAGCTGCATCTCTATCCCTTTGGATTTGTTTTTTTTAGGCCCTGGTCACACATTGCACTTAAGGCACGTCTTAAGTTGTAACCCAGCCACACGTTAAAGCAATTAATGATGTCGTAGAACAAGGAATATGCCACAAAGTTATTCCCCAAAAATGTGTAATAACTTTGGGGCTGGTTCCTATGATGCCATTAATTGAATATGTGACTGGGTGCACCCCCATGATTGGAAGCCGTCAGCTGAGGTAGGCATCCCAGGCACAGGAGCTTGCTATGTGCCAGTGCAGGGGGAGCCCAGGATCATGTAGGTAGTAATAGTCCTAACAGATATTAGTCACACTGCTTAACGCACTCCTCAAAGGCACTCTGATTCTACAATGATGAGGGCAATTTAAGAACATGGCAAGAATGCAGTATGAGTGGCCATTGATAAATAACCTTGAACAAAATGGAATTAAAATAACAAGTGTTATGTCAAAACAAACTACCTCATGAAGCAGAGCCTATTGACTGTGAATTTATAACTTTAGCTGTTGTGTTATAATACATAAAGATTTTGACTTGTTGTGATTTTATACTATGCCTCATCTTGAAAACATTATCTATGCCTTGTTGTTTCCACTCCTTAGTGTTTCTGTGTGTAGAGGAGAATATGCTTTTGGAGAACAACAATGTGACCTTTTAGTCTCATGATGTCTGATGATATTTTTTTAAAGTTCAAGAGAAGATGCCCTTGAAATGATGTTGTTGATGACTGAACAATATAGCCTAAGATAAGGTTAATTACTGAGTTGCTGATGTACCCGAGAAGCATGCATATATAAAATTCCAGTGACTATCCGTATGTGATAGTTAGTAAATTTAGAGAAATAAGATTCTTAAATCCTTTCTTAGTCAAGGGCTACATCTCACGGTTCTGTTTGGTTCCTAGGTTAAAAAAGAAAAAGCAAACCAAACAAAATGCAGAAGCTGCTTCCAAGACTCAGGCTGGGAAAGATGATGCAAGTAAAGTCATCTTGGAGCAAATCAGTTCTTCTGAAGACAACTGCAAACTTGCTGTGGAAAAGGACTGTGTCCTTGACAAAGAGAAGAAAAAGAAAAAATATAATCAACTAAAGGATATCAGACGCACAGAGCTCAAGAGATATTATCATACTGGTAAGTTATATTATTGGCAGTATAGTATTTTGGCACTACATTATTTTCTTAACTTGTTAATCTTTTTCTAATACGTTTTTTCAGGACGCCTTTAAAAGGCTATTAAGTTGAAATCTACTCAAAGCTAAAATAAGTTACAATAGTTAGAAATGTTGCACCTGCTTGTTACTCCTAGCAATTCTCTCTTGATTTTTAAAGATTTTTTTCCCTTGTTCCCATGTGAATTTTCCACACAAGGAGAGGAACTTAATGGCCATAACAGCATGAAATAAACAGATTGGAGGTTGTGCAGGGGAGGGGAAGGAATACATTTTTCCCTTTATTTCTTCTCTGTTGCAGAAAGCCAAATCGGTGTTTTTAATTATAATAAGTTAAATTTCAGACAAGTGTGACTTTTAAAGTTGACAGTCTTGTTTAATATTTTAAGGGTCTTTTGGCACATATTTGGCAAAAATGTCATATTTTTGGTATCCTGTCCTACTTGCTGCCATAAACCAAGTGTATTAGGCAGAATCAACCCACTGTGTAGGTTTGATCTGGCACTGAGGCAGAGATACAAATAAAAACCAAGCCCTATGTGGATTTACACTGGCAAACACTAACTACTATACTGATGTGTAGTCCTGATGAAATGAAGGTAAGCTTGTGCAGAAAGATTGCAGGGTCAGAATCGGCACATAGGCCACCATCTGTAGTTCTGGATTGTACTTTGTAATATATTCAAAGGCATGTAGAGAACGCACAAATTTAAATAAAATGTAAAATACATATACACAATAAATTGTGACCCACCTGTGTGTGTGTGCTTTGAGTAAATGATGACTGATAACCTGCATTCTCATTAAGAGAAGGAATCCCCCAAAAGCTAGCACCATTTGACAAGTATATGCAGACCAATCTACAGTCTGAGAATTGCTGTCTTCTGTTTTTCTTCTATGGTAATATGTGACTTATTTAAAAAGTCAGAGACCCTATCCTGTAAACTTCTTTTGCTTGTTTGTAAGTTTACTTGTGTGAGTAAAACCACTTTATCCTAAGTGTTTGCAGTATTGGACCCAGAGTAAATAACACTCAGGAAGTCAGAAATGAATATTGTGTTTCTCTTACCTTAAGCACTGTTTCTGATCAACAGCATAATTGGAAATACAATATTTACCTTAATCCAAGACAACTCTGAATTTAAGATGATCCCCCAATAAAGATATTCATTAGTTATAATTTTCCATACATAGAATGTAATTATTGAAGGGTCACCTTAACTTTGTATGCCCCGCCCCTTGCTGCAGGAGGACAGGTGGTGGGGGAGGCAAGAAAGGCAGTAGGGAGATGAGGCGGGGAGCTCAAGCAGCTTGACCTCTGCTGCCTTTCCTATCCCCTCCAACCATTCCCTTTCCCTCTTCCCCCTACTGCCTGCTCCTACAGCTCCCTGCCCCTGCTGCCAGCCCTCCCCCTGCTTAGTCCCTCCTGTCACCTGCTTTCCTTATCACTTCTGTCCCTGTCCTCCTCCTGTCCCCCCCTCCACTTACTCTCTGGCTCCAGCCCCACTTCAGCTTGGGGCACAGGGCACATAGTTGCTTTGGCTCCAGCTTGGCCCAGTAGCAGCAATGATGGCAGCAGCTCAGGCCCAGCTGGAGCTGTCATTTCTGCAACAGCTGTTGCTTAACTGGGCTGGGGCTGGAGAAGCCACTTATCCATGCCCCAGATTGGAGTGGGGCTGGAATGAGGAGGTAGGCAGCTGCTGTGGTTTCAGGTCCCCAGGTTGGTTCCAGAGCTGACTGACCCCCAACCCATCACCTCATACTCAGATACAAGAAGAGCCCCCACCCCAGTGTTAAATGGGGAGGGGGGATGTGGATCTCATCTTGGATTCAAATAAACATGGTATTTTTTTTTTTGGTATAAGAACAGAAAGGTTTGGATTGTGGAATTATCTGTAAACAGCTTCTGCCATATATTAGTTGCAGATATTTGGGCAGATGTTTTTATAATTGACAATTCTTCGAGTGACACAAAGGTGGGAACTGGTGGTTAGTGAAGCTTTCTCTACGTAAAATTTAGACCAAAGCCTGCATCATTGAGACCTCTTCTCTAAGGAGACTTGCTTAATAAAGATTGAACACTTTGAGAATTTTGAGTGTTGTGAGGAGGCTGGAATTATTTTTGCACTTTAAAAGGTTTTTTTGTGAAACATCTTAATGGTTGGAATGTCCCTGAAAAAAAAATTGACAAAATGATATCAACAAGAGCAATCACTAAGAGTGAAGTAATAACACTTCTCCCTTCCACCATTCCTTTTGCCTCTGCCTCCCATCATTCTCACTAGGATGGTCTTTGCATGCTGGTTCTTCCCAGCAAAGAATCTGCTTATCAGTCTTTATGAAGAGAGCTGTTAGCATCTGAACCTGAGAACCCAGATGTTTAAAGTAGATTGGATTCTGCAGAAATGTGAATATTCTGGCAGTGGCAGATAAATATAAAATATGACTTCTGTAACCAATTTAAATACAAAAATGCTTAATGTAATTGATAGGTATATGTATAAAGATGATCTCCTAATAATTGTGTGTGTATATTCACACAAACATGCATACACATGCGCATGCGCGCACACGCACATTAAACTAAATGTAATAACAAGACAGACAGATTTTATATATGTATATAAATTTGTCTTGATATTGCATTCAGTTTATTTTATGCTAGACCAGGGGTCAATAATGTTTTTGGTCAGAGTGCCAAAAATCCCCCAACCTCAACCTATGCCTTGGCTTGGTGTTCCAGGGACAGATGGGGCCAGGGTGGTGCAGCGGAGGGGGAGGAAGGAGAGGAGGCTGTGAGGAATCCAATCCTCGTTGCTGGCGGTGGGTGCATGGACACCTCCAGGTGGACAGCGAAGTAGGGGGCTGAAGTTGCGGTGGCCTGGCCCTTTCCCCAACATGCCCCGAGGTGCACATGCAGCTGCCCCTGGCTATGGAGCCCAGGCTCACAGCAGACAGGTTGCAAACAGCTGCACCCAGGTCCGGAGCAGGAGCCCTGGCTCCGTTTCGTGGCCAGTGGTGGCTATACACACACCTCAGTGCACATGGTGAGGAAGGTGCCCCTAACCATATGAGTGGCCCTCCTCTGGACTCTCTCTCGTCTATCAACATCCATCTTGAAGTAAGGCACCCAAAACTAAATGCAGTACTCCAACTGCGGTTTTACCAATGTTGCATAGAGGGGAAGTATCACCTCCTTGGATCTATTTGTCGTGAATCTGCTGATATATGGTAAAGTGCGGTTAGCTTTGCTGATGATTTCGTCACACTGATGACTCGTGTTCATCTTGGAGTCCTCTATGACTCCAAGATCCTGTTCCGCTTCTATGCTGCTGAGAGGGTCACTTCCCAACCAGTAGGTGTGCTGGATATTTCTGCACCCTAAGTGCAGCACTCTGCACTTGTCCTTGTTGTACTGCATCCTGTTGTGTACTGCCCACTTTTCTAACCTGTCCAGGTCTGCCTGCAATTGTTCCCTACCCTCCAGAGTGTGCACTTCACCCCACAATTTAGTATTGTCCGCAAACTTGGACAGAGTACACTTAACACCCACATCCAAGTCACTGATGAAGATATTGAAGAGTACAGGTCCAAGGACCGAATCCTTCGGGACCCCCCTACCCACATCCTTCCAGGCTGATACTGACCCATCTACTACCGCTTTCTGGGTGTGACTGCTAAGCCAATTTGGCACCCACCAGATTGTGTAAACATCTATGTCACAGCCTCTTAATTTATGTATGAGAATACAATGAGATACTGTATCAAAGACCTTGCTAAAGTCCAAGAAAACGACATCCACCTCTACTCCTGCGTCTAAGCATTTTGTAACCCTGTCATAAAACGAAACCAGATTGGTCAGGCATGATCTACCTGCTACGAATCCATGCTGGTTTCCCTGCTGCATTATTTTTCCCACTGGACTCCCACAAATGTGATCCTTCCTAATTTTTCAAAGACCTTTCCAAGGACGGAGGTGAGACTGACTGGTCTATAGTTACTCTATTCCTTCTTCCTCCCCTTCTTGAAAATAGGGACCACAATGGCCCTTTTCCAGTCCTCCAGGACCTGACCTGAGCACCACGAGTGTTCAAACAGCCGTGCCAGTGGTCCTGCTATGACACTGGCCAATTCCTTCAGTACCCTCAGGTCCAGCTCATCTGGGCCTGCTGACTTGAATGCATCCAGTCCATCAAAGTAACTCTGCACCAACTCAGCATCAACAGGTGGTAGGCTGGTGTCCCTCTGATACCCATCTAAGAACCCGTTAGGAAACTTATCGTGACCCCTGTTCAGGAACACAGAGGCAAAAAACTCATTGAATAGCTCAGCCTTGTCCCCCATCTGTCACTAAGTGTTCCTTCTTGTTCAGTTAGGGATCCTATGTTGCCCTGCGCCTTCCTTTTACTCCCGACATGCCTAAAAACAACAACAACAACAAAAAACAAACAAAAAAAACCCAAACAAACTCTTTGCTGTCTTTAATTTGTGCTGCCAGCCTCAGCTCTGTTAGTTGCTTTGGCTTTTCTAACTGCATCCCTACAAGTGCGGGCCAAATAGGTTTACTTCTCCTTGGTAGCTTCCCCCTGCTTCTACTGCCTATATGCTTTCTTTTTTGCCCCTAGGCTTCTCTGGATTTCCCTGTTTAGCCAAGGAAGTTTTTTTTTGGCCCCTTTTCCCTCGTACTGGGCTAGTCTCCCTCTGTTCCCAAAGGATCACTTCCTTTAGGAACGACCACCCTTCCTGGACTCCCATCTCTCCAATACTCTTCTCCTGCAGTGTATCATTGACTAGACTCCTAAGCACACTGAAGTTAGCCTTCCTAAAGTCAAGCACTTCCACCCTACTACAGTAAAAGCTCCATTATCTGCCACCTTACAAGCTGGCATGTTCTATTAACCGGCATGCCAGCTTGTAAGGTAAAATGAAACCAGAAGTGCCCACTGTGGCACTTCCCATTTC